CTCTCTCCTACGGGCGTCCGCGGGTGCGGAGAGAATACTAGTGTCTCAAAAACAACCCCATTGCCCCCACGCATTGACCTAGCTTTCATGTTGCCTCGGCTGTTGGTCTCGCTTTAGACGCGATCATGAGATCGGATGACGATCTGTAGGACGAGACTGGGCCCGGAAAACGACACCCCCGATGAGACAACGTGAACGCAGCTTTCCGAATGCGAAAGTCGCATGTCGGTCGGTGCATGGTGCCTATGCGGGGCCTCCGTTGGACTTAGAATCTCCCCGATCGGCTCCGGGCCGTATGAGTCCTCTCCCGTGCGAGTACTAGGCTGCTCCCGCCCCCGCGCCCCCCGCATCTTTACTTAACATTCGGCCATCCGACACTCGCGTAAGGTTGAAGATAGAGCTTGCTATCTTGCGTCTTACCCCGTGGGAAAAGCGCAGTCATAGTAAGAAGTATAAAACGGTACTAATGTTTATATCAACTTAGCTGAGATAGTTTCTTCCCAATTTGAAACCCCAGGCCCACGCCTGAAAAGCCCTTGACAGACTCCCCAGTTGATGAATTCTCCTGAAATAAAAAGGCTTGAAAAGCGCTTTGAGGACGCCAGACTCTCGGTCTTACAGCAAGCCACCTGCCCTACGGGCTTCAATTGAGTGGAAGTCTCGGACAGCTGAGGTAAATATAGAAGCTACTGGCAAGATCACCATCGAATTTGCGATTAGTCAACATTTCATTTTCAAAGTTTTGCGTCCTGAAGGTAATACTTGATGGGGTCATTTCAAAGAGCGAGGTGTTTGTCATTCTGCTGGCTAGAGTTCGGTCTCCGTTGCGGACATGCTTTACAAACACGGATCGATGATATGTCACTAAGCTTGGACTCAGAGCCCGTGTTTCTAGACCTACAACCGTGACGTAGAAAGCGAGTAAATCACTAAGACATTGCCGAGACACCGCGGAAAATCATTCCACTGGAGACCGTCCCACTGTGTTCAATTCTCCGTGGGCTGTCAGCACTCGAAGATTGGCATAGATATACATATGGGTACGTCGATGAGTAGATAGATTCTCTCAAGAGCTGAACGCTTTGCCAGTGACCAAACTTAGAGAGACGGGGTTTCGGGAGATCTTTGACAGGGCCGTCGTCACCTCAGTCGCCTCGGCCCGCTGGAAGGCCCTCGCAGCAATACAACCCCTTTCGTCGGCCCGTGAATGGTCAAGCTTGTTTGAATTGCCCACATAAGGTTAGCATGCTTGGTCTTTATAACGTGCAAACACGAGAGCTTGTCATCCTAACTCAAGCTATATAATTGCTCAAGTCCGATCTGTCGCGGCCCTTCATAAGTATGCACACTTATGTCAACAACTGTCTTTACCGTCCTTGTCTCCAGCATCAACAAAAACAACGGCTTCCCTTTGCCTAGCTTGAGGAAAGCTTGCCATGTAATATTCCCGCCACTGTCAGCCCACATGAAGTCGCCCTTCAATTGACATTCCACAACGAGTTATCTGACTTGTAAGTGTGCAATATAGGGACTAATCGATCCAAGAATCACAAAGTGAGGACGCCCTTGTTACGATTCTTATCCAGCTATGGGGTCTTCATGCGTCCAATACAATTGCACCCCACCCCATGATTGATGAGGTCTATATGTCGAACTGGATCGGCACAGGGACGGCTTGGCCAAGAAATTCCAAATTGATCGACAAGTGAGCAAGGACGAATTTTTGCGCATGTAAGTGCGAGATACTATCAAAGGAGTGTCATTTTATCATTGTTCATTGCCGTGATCAAATTTGGCCTGCTCAAGCATAGGCATCAGCCAAGCAACTAGATTGCTCGAGCTCGAGCTCAATGCGTAAATGTTCTATAATTAGGATTAAACAACTAACCCCATCTTCGACAATGTCGTCCTCCAAACCAGCGCTCCCATTCAAGATACAAACTACAGACGACCACGTACGGCTCACAGACCTAAGTGATCGTGTGTAGTTGTAAGATGGAAGCGCCCCGCCCTGGTCATTGACTTTCCTGTGAGAAAGCTGGCTTTGAATTGACTGTGTCGCGTGAGATCGTCGGTAGAAGAAGAGTCGGGCTGAGTATGTAGGTCGCCGGCCTCTGGGTATATCCGTCCATAAGTCATGATGTAAAAGTGGTGTTCTGAAGAAGGAGTAATGATGCAAAAAGCCGACCGCCGTGGTTTCCACCGCCAGGCCAAAACATTCTCAGCGAAGTCATCAATCCTTTCCAGATTGATCTTGCCTCCAAGCTAAGTTCGACTCATTGTGCAACCACAGCAGCTACCGCCACTCCGACAAAGGCGATGAGCATAGCGAGACTTGAGTCAAACTGGCGACCTGCAGCATTGACGGGCGACGACGTTGAGAACGGAGGGCTCGTCGGGAGGGGGTTCCATGTGTCTCCGCCGCCACCTCCTTGCGTTGCCGAAGCAGACGCTGAACCACCACCAGCACCTCCCGACGCCGTGGCTGTTGCGGTCGCAGGCGATGAAGCGAACGAAGAGCCCGAGATGGCTGAGACGAAGGACCCGGATACCGTTGAACCACCAACGGCACCTGCGCCAACACAACCACAAACTTGGTCTTGTCAGCCTTTCTGTCCAACAAAGATTGATTGCCGCATGATGACCAACAAGTCATGGTGATAGATACTTATGATCGAATATTCATGGGGAAAGGAAGAACTTACCGGATGAAGCTCCGTTGATAACAGCCTGGAACGACGCGGCAGGACAGCCCGTCGCAACACAGGGCTCAATGGCGGCGTATAGAGCCGCTTCTTGTCCACATTGACATGAGAAATCGAGGCTATCGCATCCTACAAAAGACGCGCCGTCGAGAAAACAGCTTTGCGCGCAGGAAGGAATAGCTGTGACGGCGACGCTCGCGCAGTTTTCCGCCGCCGCCACGCCGCCCGCCAGCAACACCGCGCCGGCGACGAGGCGAGTGAAGTTCTTCTTCATCATGATATATGATATGATATGTTTCTGTACTCTTCTTGACCGAGTACTGTTTGGTTTAAGCGATTGTGAAGTTTGGTCGAATTGGGAGATGGTGAAACGAGGAGTGCTTCAAGGAGTCTTGTTGAACATGGAGATGGAGCGTCCAATTCGTTCTTGGGTGGCCCGGATACATGCAGGAGAAAGGGAGAATGGGGGAACAAGCTTCCTTTGTGGAGGGAGACTGTAGGAAAACCCTGCATGGGGGAGAGGGTGGGAGTGGGAACGGGGACATAGAAAAGGCAACAACCGACAATCACGTTTGTTCTTTTGTCACCTACCTCGCGGTAAACACTACCCACGACTCAAAGCCATGAGCTCTAGACCAGCAAGCCTGGGCTTCCTTCAGTTGCACGTTGTAGCTTAGCTAGCTTCCTCGGGAGCTATCTAATTTCCCTCACAGGTTTTCGCTTTCACATGTGGGCTGCTGTGCTCCCAACTGGCGGCTGGTCGGCATGAGGTCATGTCCGTCGAGCCGTAAATGGGAATATCATCACTAATACGACGCAGGTGGAGAGGGATGTCACCCACACCAGCGCACACACACACACACACACACACACTCCAGCGCACCAAAAATTTTCACTGAGTAAGGCAAGGTAGTTGTCATTCTTTCATTGCGCTATCTTACTCGGCCGACTTCTCCTCATCCACTTTCCCCCGCAGTCAACCCCGGGGGGTCTGGGGACGGCGATGCCTTCCGATATGGGGCAAGACGCGGGGGAATCGACAGGGATGCCCGAGGGGGGATGGCGCTGATCCTTTGGGCCCTGGCACTACTGCGTACGGCAAAGTCGCAGGTGTTGCTCTTTTAAGCTTTTGATCTGGGGCGCGGACGAATCGTTTGTCTGATGATTGACTTGGCCGTTGGGATGGACGAGCCATTTTGCCCAAGTCTTGGATGCTGGTCCGACCAGGAAGAGGCGCTGGCCTCGCGCTATATCAAGTTGGGAGCTTGGTGACAGGGGTTGGGCTAGACAACACCCTGGCGATGTGATTTGATGTGCAGGTGATAAGCTGGCTGGCTGAATCCACCATGAATGGACCGAGGCTGGCAGAAGACGCACGCGACAAACATTTGATTGTGATTTTGCATCTCGTATTAGGGCGAGATGGTGGCACCGTTCCCCGTAACAGAGATCTTGACGGACGAGGCGGATGAGGATGCTGCTTCGAGGTGGCGAGCCAATCGAGGCTTCGAGACACTTACTTACATCAATTGACCGCCCAGGCCGTTGGAAAAGGTTCGCCGGTGGCTTACTTAAGTTCCTTTCTGCTAGTGCTAGGCCTCACAAACGCAGCCAACTGTTGGTAATATCGTATGAGCCACTAACAGACTGCTAAGACATGCTGCTACCACAACGTCAATCGGTTGGAGGAGATCATTAAGCAAACAGTTCGACATCGTTAGTAGGGATTGAAGGCGCAGTTCCGTAAATACTTAAGGGATGGCATAAGCGAGACATTAGATTAGCCCGTGTGCGTGGATTGGACGGAGAGATTGAAACGGCTTGTAATGTCACGTCTTTTTCGTCTTCCAAGATTCTTCTGAAAAGTCTTGATTTCCCGAGAGACTTCGGAAATTAGACGAAGATGGTTGCATGTACCTGGCCTATCATAGGCTAAGGTTGCCTGTACTTTATCATCTCCAGTCTGCAGGCTTTCTAGCCGATGTCACCAACTTTGTTATGCTGCCAGGCTGCTAATCCATGCCTCAGAAAACGTGTTTTTTCTCGAATGTGACTTGTTACAGTATCGTATTTGTGACTCACAGAGAATTTACTTTCTTCGATAACAGGGTACTGGACATGGTAAAGTTTTTGGAGGTATATATGACTCTGTTGTTGTTTCGATTAGATCAAGAGTATATCTGGGATTTGATCGGAAGCCGAACTTATGCTTCTTTGCAACTCTCTGTAGTCACATGCAACGATAGATCTGCGCATGCATGCGACCGTACTATCATCAAGAATGCGTGATAAAGCTCAACCAAGGAGCGTCTCCAGCCCTTCTTCCTCAATGACATCTATCCAGTGGACATGGTCGACAATCCTCAATTCCGGATCAATCACTATGTCTCCCCGGTCCATGCGCGACCATACCTTGACAAGAAGAGTCATGGCACGCTGTATGGTGCGTAGTCCAATGATTTGGTAGGTCCGGGACAATCTCTGGAGGACAAATTTTCTCCATCGCTCGATACTGCAATTAAAAGTGTACTGTTCTGACGTGAATTGGCCCTCATCCGCTACTATGATTTTACCAAGTACTGAGCCGGCGATAGTGAATACCAGAGTCTGCGTTGCGATGGTCCGAGAGTCTTCCGGCATGGTTTCGAGGGTGTTCAAGATGTCAAAAGCAAGCTTCAGTAACAGCTGTGACGGTCTGTCTATCCCATCGCAAGATATACGAACAGCTGGATCCGACTCCAGACGAGCTTTGGCCAGCTCCGGAAAGGCGCGGTACAGTTCCAAACAGCCACTCAGCTGGTAACAATGGGCAAGTTGAAGGAAGTGAATGGGTGGAGCCTTGATATCGCCGGTGTCCTCGATGGATGACAACCTAGGGAGCTTGGTTCTGCGGATTTGATCTTCCAACAAAGAAGCTTCGCCAAGGAGATTCCCATGCGCCACTTTTTCGAACGCTTTGATTTTGTTTAACAACATGGCGCGCGTGAGTGATCTTTTCCTTCGTACAAGCGAACCAACTTTCGCCAAGTAAATGAACACCGAAGTCCCAACACCGGTCCAGGGACAGACATATGAAGGGGGTATCATGTCGATTTCGAGGAAAGGATCAAGGTAAGAAAGTGAGTCGGCCAGTTGATCAACAAGGAAAGAGACGAGCACTTCCCAGTACACCATCGATGAAACGAGAAAAGTTTGACTCTGGGTCATGATGATTAACTTTGAAGGACAGTCCAGTCCTTGAAATTTGGTCCAGAATTCAAAGAGCTGTCGAGACCCATGGATGTGGAATAGGCCGAGTGATGAGGGATTATGCCAACTCTTGACATTGCTGTCAGTTCTCTTCGATCACCTTGAAATGGGCATGGGCCTTACCGAGGTCATTCCGAGCAGGATTATGCCTAGCAGCACTTCATCCTTCACAGGATACGGTAACGACAACAAAGACAATGTTTGGTCAATGGTCGCCCCGCCAGAGTTGACCATTGCAGAATTGTTGATCTTGCATAGCTCTGTTGAGACCTCGGAGATTGCCTCGGTCTGGAAGCTTAGAGGCGTGGTCGAGGTGCAGTCGTCTCTATGGAAGTGGGAGGCGGACATGTTCATGACGCAAAGAAAGAGTAGGCGTGAGCCTACCATCATTTCCAGGACATTTGATCGAAAAGGACTCTGGCTGGAGTCGAATGATGAGCTTATTGGACAAACGAGCGAAAAGTAATGGTGCAAAAGGAGGGAGATCTGGTCAAGAGGTTCATAAAGGAGTAGAGTGCTGTCAGCATATTCCTCACAGAGTATGCCATCGGTATGGAACTCTGATGCGCAATTGGAGCCAATGTCTGTGGGCGATGAAGTGGCATCTTCTGGAGCTGAACCCCTTCTGATGAAGTTTGAAACGCTCACAGGTGACTGGACATCAACAAGATTGTGTTCTTCGTAGTCGGATGTAGTTGTCGAAGATAGAGCTTGAACAAGAAGCACTCCCCTCCGAATTACCGTGACCACAGACCTCGTGATAGAACCTTGCGCTCGGGATCTTGATGTCGACATGGTCGGTGGTTCAACAGTTGTCTGATGCTCGGGTGAGATGTGAGAAATCGCCCGCGAAACGTTCCGAACCTCATCCTCAAACCAGCCAGGGGAGCTACGATGAGATTTGTTGACACTGAAAGACGTGCGTGGGCTGCTCTCGTATTTTGTTGACCATTTCAATGCTTTAGCATATCCTGGGCAATCGATACCTGACTTTACACATCGTAGACAACTAGGCTCCGCCTCGTCGCATTTGATTCTCTTTAAGAATTACCAACATTAGGTGATGCAAGTTCATTGAACATTGTAGACGGCTTACTCGGCGCTTGCAGCGAACGCAGCCACCTGATCGTGGTGAAGGTTAGTCTCCCGAGAGCCGAAGAGTAGGATTGTTGGCACTGACTCCTGGACTTGATTCTTCGGGAGTGTTGAGATGAGCTGCTGCTCATGATCGCGCGATTCCGGATGATAATACGACAGCTTGACTGACAGGATCAACGTTGTCGATAGGAACAAGTTGGTTCTCCGGGACAGTGTGTGCTGCATTGCCGAACAAGCATGCGGGGTGGGGCTCTGGGACTGATAAGTGCCTCGTCAATTCCGCGTCGCAAGTGCTTTCCGATTGGCTGTGGTAATCTGGCTTATCAACCAGCACCAGACACGACTCGGGCTCGCGCAATAGATGGGTTGTGCTAGAAATTGATGGCTTACTAGACAAGTTGTCAAAGATGATCCGATTGGTCAGGCGTTGCCTTGACTTTTGTGGACTGCATTGCAGCTTCATTGGTCCTTGGTAATGACTAGCAAACCCGAGAGGTTCCATTGCTCAAAATGGGCGAACTTCATGAGAGTAAACCAATCACGTTGGGTCGAGACAGGAGAATGGACGTATCTTTCCAAATCATGGGAGTTGGCTCAGTTCAAAACAATGGTGATAGTTGATTTAAGAAATAAACTCTGACTCTCTTCTACCAAGAAACCAAATGCTAGACTCAAACAGTATCACAGCCATTCATTACATGCAGCTCCGTCAGAGGCCCAACATACCTCTTCCTCGCCCGTAACAGCCAATAAACTGCACCGAATAGCAAAGCTGCACCAAGAACAACTGGCGCGTAGTTCATGTTGAGGGCGGTAACGGGTTGAAAAGGAGGAAGAATGAGGAATACGCATGTGAAAACCAGATAGCACACGGCGGCCGCATTAACTGCCACTCCGGCCGGTCCGAGGCGCCAAGGCCCCCATATCAGAGTCTCCGGACAGAAGATTCTACACCACAGCACGAGGATGATCGGGAATAGATATGAAGCTTGAAGGCTTACAACTGCGAGAGAGAGGATGGCATTGAAGGCCGTTGTGGAGCCGATGTTGATGAGTCCAAGGAGAACGAGTAGACAGGTTGTGACGACAATGGCACTAGTGGGGATCCCGCGTTTCCGCTCGACCTTGGACAGGACTCGGGAGAATGGGAGTCCTAGTGTGCTGAGATTAGCTTTAATAGCGTAGGATTACCAATATGCACTTACCTTGATCTCTTGCAAAAGCCCACATTACACGCGCAGCAGAAGTTATCAGTGGAATAGTCGATACGATGGCCATGATCGTCACCGCAGCCGTAAGTGCATTGGCTGCCGCCAGAGATCCAGTGATGTTGTAAAAAATCTGGATGATGGGAAACCCGGTTGTCGAGTTGAGTGCCGATTCAATGTCGCCCATGCAGAACAACAGCGTGATCAAGAATGTGAAGCCGAGAGCACCGTTAATGATCACACAGCCAACCATTGCTCGAGGCACCCCGACCTGCGCGTTCTCCATCTCTTCGCTGAGATGGGTGGCCCCATCGTATCCCGCCAAAACGTAGCAGCAGCTCAAGAGGCCTATACACCATGCTATACTGTCGTTTGACCAACCCGAATTATTCTCGAATGTCGCGAATACGAAGGAAGCCGAGTGCTTTGTCGGCGACACCACAGCCATTACGATGAGGATGACCAGGTAGAAGCCGACGTGCAACGTCATGGTAATCTTCTCCAGCAGCGGAAGAATGTTACTGCAGAAAATGCATACTAGCGCAGATCCTAACAAGATAGCCCAGTAGAGCAGAGTCCCATGCCACCTCTCGGAAGTATACGAGTCTGGGTAGTTGAGTATGAGAAGGCCCTGTATTTGGGTCCCGGCGAGGAATGGTGCGCTGCCGGCTAACGCGACCCATCCTATAGTACTGCATAGCAGTTCGAGTAAGCTCGTGTACAAGTTGCTTTGCTTTGAAGTCTCATTCTTACGTGATATATCCTGCAAACCAGCTGTTAACCGGTCCTCTCCTCCCGGGGCTTAAATAGGCGACAAAGTGATACTGGCCTCCTGCTGTAGGGTGACTATATGAATGGTCAAAGAGATTCCTTGAGCGAATGCCCGGGCATCCCTACATAGACGCCAGCTCTGCCAAAGACATGGCGGAGCATAAAGATCCGATGAATGCAATGATGGCCCCATAAACTAGTGAGGCCGGTCCTCCATTAATAAGCCCTGTTGCCATGGTGCTGCCGGAGCGGATATTAGATATGCCTGGACCAAGACTGAGGGTATTTCATACCTGCATAGAGCTTCCCAGGTTGCCATCAATGATACACATGTTGCTAGGATTGCTGTGGGTGAAAAGTTTCGCTGCATTGAGATGAGCATGGTCATCTACATGCGACGTACGCAAATGATAAAGAAATGCCTACCTTAACCTCTTGAGCATATCCGGTCTGTGTTTGATCCTCTCCTCCTGTGCCTGTCGGCATGCTTTGCTTCTCAGAAACCGATTTTGAGGTCATGGTAGCGTTGGGTAGCGGTTCAAAACAGCTTCAAGAGGTTTCGTAACGTCACATGAGCAGTCGCAAGCCATTCTCTTCAGAGCAACATTTATATCAGGAACTATGTAGGATGCTGACCGAATTACATGTAGTTTTTCTTTCGGAATCTGGCTTATCTTCGCACTGATTGACACTCTCTAGACGTGCCAGGTAGATGATAGTGTCTATGGTGGTGGACGACCGACGCTACGCCCCAAATGGAATAAAAGTGCGAGCTGCAAGGGATCATGCACCCCGCAATCAAGCTAACAAGGAGATCGGAGCGGGGATTGCGAAGATAACAACACATGAATGTGCGACCCGCCTCCGACCTAAGGTAGAACTACATGTACTACCACAATACTAAAGCGAACCAAAATTCTGGACTGGCCGTGATGCCGCTTTCAAGGTGTCTTGTCTCGGAAAGACTGAAGTCAACGCATTCCGTACCTCTTTCCCAGTTACCCGTAGGCCGCGAGAAACTAATATTGAACCCCTGCAAGACGCCTCAGCTGTCTGCTAGTTGAGGCTCTCTAATAGTGAAGACCTGGCAGTCATTATTGCCGGTGAGTTTCCGCAGTCCTGTGTGCCTTTCCAGATTCCAGACTTCTAGGGCGACCTATCTTAACGTCATGCGGACCTTAGGTGGAGGGATGCTAACTTCAACGCTGCTGGCAGAGTTACTCGCGCTATCGAACCAACTTATGATCTGAAAACATCCACCTCGGAACTATACAGAATTCAGAACTCTGACTGCCATTGAACACGGCGGGAAGCATGGACTCAGAGAAATGATTCAGACTGGAGGAACGACTCAAAGGGCAACGAGGAACCAGATGACAAGCGCCGACCAGGCCTGATGCTTGAAGAGTGTGTTGATCATATTTGCCTGAAATGATTTCTTGACTATACTAAAATCTGTATACCCCTAGAAGATTTCTCTCTGTCTCACAGCCTTCCATGCAAGACTGGCTTAGCAAGAACCTTGTTGGGGTCAGTCTCTGCTAGAATTGTAGCATACGACCCAAATCGCACATGGACCTCACGCTGGGGCTTGGGGTCCCAACAGAAAAATCGCCCGGTTGAGCGCATTTCGCGCAAATCAACAACGACCACAGACTCAACGGGCATGATCGTTTCCGTCCAAAACAACAGGTACAGGCTGTCACTGAGCTTCAGCATCTTGCAAAGCTCTGCGTCTGCTAGGCCCTTCTCGGTGCCGCTGAGGCAGTGCCATGCGAGGGTGCCTCTGTTGAGATAGATGTGCTCGTAAGCATCGCGAGGGGTGTAGCGATACAGAATGTGCTTGCCGATGAGCTCCTCGGTAGCTTCGTAGGCTTTGAC